AAACTTTCCAAGGCTGTCAATTTCCTTTCTCTTACTGAGGGCAGCCTACTGATACCTACTTATACAGTTCACACTATGAATTCTTTGCACATGTCCCCTGTTCCCACCAGTCCTAGTCAAAGAACGACTATCCTATACCCTAATGGTGCCCTCCCTCCAACACCCTCTTCAGGTCTGGGTATTCCTACTCCAAGCTTCAGGTAGACAGAATGATGAACACCTTCTTTGGCCCTCTAAAAGACCATGAGGTACCTGTGGTATGTGTGGCCTCCGCTTCAACTTTCATGGCTGTGTAGGATCTGCTGGGTGATCACCATGGTGGGAAGTTGGTTCCAGTCTGGGCTGCTGGGAACAAGCCTTGTGTCTTCTTCAGGCATCAGCTGGGGTGGCATTTCTGGGTCTTCGGCTTTCCTGCCTCCTGCCATACTGTGTACCAAGGCAGCTACACATTACATATACCTCTGACAGCCTGGAGCTGAGTTTGCCACAGTGAGTGCACTCATCACTTGGAGCAGTACCTTGAACATAGCTATGGGGACTACCTGGGCATGTCACCTTTTCTCCATTTCTCTGTGGCCACCTGTGTAGAATCCATGTATGTACAGCGGCCGTTATGTATGTGCTGGCCCCCTTCTCCATCCTTGCCAAGGAGAACAGAAGTATTCAATTTTAATGGAGTCCACTTTGCCAGAGTTTACCTCTGGTGAAGAGCACATTTGGAGGTCACAAAGGGATCTTATAGTCATGATCCCTGTGGCAAATCTGCACTTGGCAACTACTGAGGACAAACAGCACCGCAAGCTGAGTCTCCCTGCCAGCCTCTGGGGGCTACCCATGGGGCCTCCTGTCCAGCCAGCAGGGTGAGCTAGGCTCCCACAGCCTGGGGGCATCTGAGGAGTGAAGTGAAGCTGCCAGTCTCTATGGACAGAAGGCCCTGAGCTGATGACAGAGATGGGCAGTGGAGCCTGAGAATGTGACGGGAGGGTGACATTGAATGACTTTTTGGGTGACACTATGTGTGTCTTTGGTTTAGATACACTGAATTTTGGAATGAACAACAGTGGGGAGCTGGTGGTCTGAAGGCAGGTAGGCCTCCCCAGAGCCCAAGAGGGGATGCTTGTGCCACTAGCCCACTACTCAGAACAGTGCCTGGGTGGCCCCTTTCTACTCACTTCTGCAACGTCCCTCATGGAAGCCCTGGAGGAAGCAATGTGTGTTCTTAGTCTGCCCTGAAGGCAGCTTCCCAGGGAAGGGTACAGGCTGGACTACCCCCAGGTGCCAAGGCTGGTGGTTGTGGGTGAGGAGTTAGTACAAAGCCTGGTGGCTGTAGGTAGTTCCTCTCTGCAGGCAGAGACCAAGCGCAGCTAGGCCTTGGACCTTTGGCAAGACAAGCAACCACAGATAGGAGTATGTGTCAGGTATACTGTTTCAGGTATTTTCGAAAGGGATTCAGAAGTGCTGTGCCATGTCTCCTGGAAGCCAACAGTCTGGAAAGACAGCACCACTACCTGCACTATACCACCAATCTCAGCAATGCCTAGGTGTCTGGGCTTCAGTGTGGCCTTGTCTGCCCCTGTGAGCAAGGGTAGACTCGTGAGGCTAGGGAAGGTGTCCAGAGGGCCAGGACTTTGTGTCTTATTTCTTGATTTTTGCTTTAAAAGCACTGCAGGGGAGTAAAGAGATGCCTCACTTGCCAGTGCTTTACCAAATCCCATAACCCACATAAAAAGCAGGACACTGCCTCACACCTGTAATCCCAGAGCTGGGATAGAGGAGATGGAGACAGGTGGATCCGTAGAATTTAAGGGCCAGGTAATCTGGGCTGCAGGTCAAAGTTCCAAGCCCGAGAGAGACCCTTTCTCAAACAAAAGGGCCCACATTGGAGGTTGTCTTATGACACACACATTGTTCATGTGCATACCCACAGGTGCATATATAAACACAAACGTGCACACACACAAAAAGAAAGAAAAGAAAAGAGACAAGCACCACAGAGCATACAGTACGCCTCTCACTGCAGCTGGAGAAAATTTTAAAGACGTGTTCTCAGGGCTTCCCTCAGTCCTAACCTTGCCACGCATGGTCTCATGGCAAGAAAAACACATTTTCATAAGACCTGGCGTCCTGTCTAGAGTAGTTACAAAGGGCAACTATGCACCTTCCTTTGTAGCCTCCTCTGACATCAGCACAATACTCATCATGCCTCCAGGAATGTCTGATAGCTCATCCCTGGTCCTGTGTAAGCTACTTATCATTGTTTGAAATGAAAATATTGGGGGCTGTGGTGGTCCTGAGGTTCTGCACAATGGGGCAACAGGCATCGTCCAGCTCTACCCGACAGGGGTTATAACAGCTCCACAGGTTGCTCTGCCCTGCTCCCTTCTATAAGACGGCCAAGCTCAGTGACCTCCCTCTGTACTCCCAACATACCTGAGTGTATCCAGACTGCTCTCCAGTCCCACTGGGTGTAGTCTTCGGTGTTGTCTGGGTCTCCCTAATGCGGGTGTCATCCCACAGCAGTGGATCTTGCTGTGTGATCATTCAGCCACAGGAAAAGGGCTGAGAGACATATTTGAAAAACCATCTATAGCTGGGCATGGCTGTATAAGCCTGTAATCCCGGCACTTGGGAGGTGGAGGTAGGAGGATCAGTAGTTCAGGGCTATCCTTGGCTATATATCAAAATTCAAGGCTAACCTGAGCTATGAGGCCCTGTCTCAAAAAAAAAGCAAACAAAAAACAAAAAAATGAGGGAGGGAGGAAGAGAGGGAGGGGGAGGGAG